CAAAGGCTTTACTGAAGTCCAGGTAGACAACAGCATTTCCTCCATCCACTAAATGGGTTGACATGTCATAGAAGGAGATCAGGTTAGTCAAGCAAGACCTGCCTTTCCTAAACCCATGCTTGCTAGGCCTGATCCCTTGGTTGTTCTGCATGTACTACTTGGTGACACTCGGGATGATCTGCTCCATAGCCTTCCCTGGCATGGAGGTTAGGCTGACAGGCCTGTAGTTTCCCAGATCTTCTTTCTGGCCCTTTTTATAGATGGATGGCACATTTGCTAACTTCCAGTCACCTGGAACCTCCCTGGTTAGCCAGGACTACTGGTAAATGATTGAAAGTAGTTTGGCAAGCACTTCAACCAGCTCCCTCTACAATTGGTTGGATCCCATCTCGCCCCATGGACTTCTGTATGTCTAAGTGGTATAGCAGGTCACTAACCATTTCTGCCTGGATTATGAGGGTTTCATTCTATTCCCCATATCTGTGTACCCTGAGGACAATTGATCTTGCTATTAAAGACTGAGGCAAAGGTGGCCTTAAGTACGTCTGTCTTTTCATCATCCTTTGTTGCTATGTTTCCCCTCCAAATCCAATAAAGAATGGAGATTCTCCTTAGTCCTGGTTCTATCCAGAACAGGATTGACTTTTGCAGCAGCCAGGAGGGGCACACAAGGACCCTGGGGTTATTCTATACCACCTCATGCCATGCAGAGGAGAGGCGGGGGTTGGGGGCCCTTCTGGTTTGGCTGGTGTGCAGTGTGTGTGGTCAGGTGGCACTGGGTTCCACGTGGTGAACAATCGCCTGTGAATCGTTCACCTGTTTTGGACACTGTTATTAGTATTGTTATCGTTAGTTTTCTTATTTCATTGCTATTTCTAGTAAATTGCTCTTATCTCAACCCATGATCTTTACCTTTTGTGCCTCCAATTCTCCTCTCCATCTTGCCTCAGATGGAGGGGTGGGGAGTGAGTGAGCAGTGCATGGTCTGGAGTGTTTTAGTGGGAACATTAAATTGGGGAATACCAGTCTTGGAGTCATGTTTTCATCTGCATGATTTTCCTGTTTCTACCTTCATCATTTCCTCAACTGGCAGGGTAGAGAACACTGAGTCAGAGATGCCTCTTGTCAGGGTTTCAACTCTTCCTGCTTGTGGGGGGCTGGAGCGACTCTCTAGGTGCTGAAATATAAACAATTCTAAAATATATAGGTTACTTGGAAAAATGAACCCCTTCAATGGACATAGATTATTTCATTAAGTTATTTTTTTCGCTATGCCTTATAAGCTTCTTCAAATTCTATCTGCATCTGTATTTATGTAGCACAGATTAGTACTGGGGTTCATAGGAATAATACTAACTCTGTTTTCCTCTCAATATCAAACACTCCATGCTTCCAGCCCTGAACATGAAGAAACACTTAAACCCTATATATATTTTAACTCCTGCTTACAGTACTGAGAGGTAACTAGCTAAAGAACTCTACTTCTGGTATTTGTGTACTAGATCCTTCTATGTCTCCTCTAAAAATGGCTCTAATAACAGAATTGGATATTATAATTTCCCTGGAGACTTATGCAGCCCTTTCCTGTCTATCTGTCTTGATGATTAGGCCTTAATCTATAGCATAATTTGGAATTTTTAGTAATTAACTGCTGTGTTCTGCTCTTACTTTTGGTCAGTTAAATGGCAAGAGGAATCGTCTCTAATTTAAGATAAGCTGCTGCTCAGAGTAACAATTAACACAGCTACTGCTCTTTAAAGAAATGTAGTAAACCTGGTAGGATGCAATATAAATAACTACACTGAAAATATACCTGCATCTCTAAACCAGAAAATTTGCTACGAAATTCTAGTGTGAAATTTATAACAATTCTTTATGGCAATTGAACAATGATGGCTGCTTTCATGCTATTTTCATATGTTCTTTGCTAGTCAGCATGTCTTGGAAATGACTTAATCTGAAATATAAATTAGTAAAAACTGTGACATGAATATTTCAGTTTTTCAGACTGCTGCATGGCTTCAATTCAGAAGGCATCCATTTGCCATAGATTCTACTGGAAGAAATGAAAATTGCTTTGTATTTTATCACCCAAGTCTTACCTAAACCAGAATGACATCAATACAACAAGTTCTTCTCGCAAGAGCAATGAATGGAGTACAGCATACACATTCTTGTTCTTATTGAGAACATGCAATTTTATCACAGATAATAGGCAAGAGGCTGATGCTCTGTATTTTAAAAGCATTAAATTCTTTCAGGACTGAAGTGAGGTGCTGGACTTTCATATGACAGCATCTTTTTAAATATACCAAATGACATATGGATTGATGCTGCTATAAATGAAATCTGTGTTCTCTGATCACAGACTTCTTCTTGGTATATTCTTGTGCAACACTCAAGAGTACAATGCATAAGTCTGGTCTGTAGTCATTCCACTTGTTTGGGATTTTTTTGCTTGTTTTAAAGTATATTTAAACACTTTTTTTTGGGGGGAGGGGGTATTTGGTTTTTTCAACTGTAAATTCAGGCAGCTGAAAACTACTTCACCCTTCAAGGCAATGAGGAGTTTTAGCATAGATCAAAGCTTTCAGTGAGTCTTAGAGCACTTCATGCCTGTATCCTGACAGACTTACTTAAGTGTCTTAATATAGTTTGGATTATATATATTTGTTATTAAGGACAAGACAGAGTTTTTTCCCCAAGTTTGTATTAGTTCTGCATAGCAACTGTCAAAAGAAAAATCCTCTTTGATCTGTCTTATGATTCAGGAAAACAGTAACTGTTAACTCTGTAGCATCATGTAGGGGTGAAGGCCTGATTCTATGCATTAAGTACCATAAGTAAATTTTTTTCATGTATAGCATATCTCTTTCCATCAGACCATAGTAAGTGGAGAAAAGGCAAATTAGCAAAAACTCCTCTTAGATATAACTTTGTTTTATGCATGTCCAATGTCAATATTGTAAAAGTCATTGTAAAATAAATGTACAGAAATGTGTACTTTAATATGGAGGCAGGCTGAGAAATTGTTTTTGAAAAGAGAATTGCTCATTTATTTTATAATTTAGCCATTCTAATGCTGCTTCACTGCATATAGAACCAATTTATGAGTGAATATAAGTAGTCACAGCAATATGCACAGACAAATACAGAAGGAACAAGTTTTGGAGATTTGTGTCATATGTCTTAAATGCCTTTGTTTTACAGGACGGAAATAAAGATAAGATTGTCTGAGTCCTATTCAAGTAATTCCAGCCCATCATAGCAATGGGCTAGAAGAATTCAAATGCTGTATTAGTTTTTTAAATCTCGATTCTCACTGATTCACTAACAGCGTAGATATGATTTTTAGAGCAAGCTCTATTGCAAAGGCTGTCTCTTAACATTCCCTCCTGCCCAGGTGATGCAATTTCAGTTTGACAACACATAATTTACAAGGCTTAATAAAAAGTCGCTGAAATCTAACTGCGTCTGTCCTTCCTGTCCTCTTTGATACCCCTATAAACCACATCCTGCTTGTGGCTCTAGGCTTGCATGGATGAATAGTAGGGAAGCAACTGTTTCTCATGTAGGATGTCTCAGTCTTTAGAGGCTTTTTAGAAAGTGAGATTTCTCTAGAGCAACTTCAAAGAAACTCTCTGGTATTATATAATAACCTGTACTATCACCTACTAACAAACGCTGCTGCCTTCTCTTTCATTGGTTGTTTTTTTCTTTTAGCTGTGATGGAAGACATTCTTAAATGTTCAGAAAGATGTGCGGTATTTCTTTTAAGACCTGTTTCAAAACTTGTCAGGAAAGTCCTCTGGGGAACTTGTTATCTATATGACAAATTTGTACAGAAGTTAGTTCCAGAAGGAATCAGAGGCCTTTTGAAAAGTGTAACTCAGATGCATTTACAAAAATCAAACCCTTCCCAAAGCAGAAAAAACTTTCATAGAAGTAAATTCTCATCTGCAATTCATTTAATAGCTTAATTTATTTAAATATAGTATGTAAAATCTACATTGTTGTTTCACTTTAAATGTTTACACAAAGGAGGATTTCTTTTTATTTTTAGCCACAATGCAACAAGAGTTTCCCATAGCCTACCTTCCTATGGGATATATGAATATTAAATGCTACAAGAATCCCTGGCTCATTTAACTGTCTTTTCATTGCCTTCCCTTTATTTCTCCCCCAGGCCTGGTACAAACAAACAGGCTTGTATTACAAAATTTTTAAACAGTTCCAAGGGAAAGTCTGTTGATATGAACTCCTGGAAATGGGGAGAACTCCTAGAGCGGTCTACAATTCTTAATTTGACAATAAGTTCTTACGTGAAAGGTTAATCTTTTTTGGATACTGACTTGCAAAAATAACTTGAGTGCCACCACCTAAAAAGTGCTGATACACATGGTGCTATTTGTGAGAATTCAGGTGCTTATGGGATTTCTCTTAGTACTAGGTAGAGGTATTGTGCAAATCCTCAAATGATGCAATTTCACCCCACTTTTCAGCTGCTGGCACTGTACAAAGGGAAAAATAGGTATTAGCTACTTAAACTACCTGCAAACTACAGTTAATGTACATGCAAGCTTGTCATGCATCAAAAGCCAAATTTTAACAATATGTGAAAGGCCAATATGTATTTCTTTAGCTGTATCCCTGAATTTTGACAGCTAGCCTATCCATATGCAGAGGTCAAACCATACCTTTATTTTGACAGCATTATCACACCATACCACATACTGTATGTCTATCTACATTATTCTAAGATACAACTCTCCTCAGTACTTAAATATTACCCTTTATTATACATCAACTAATGCATTTTTAATTGGTTTTTCTTTTTTTTAATTACAGAGAAAATGTAATAATTATATAACTATTCCGTATGGTATCCAAATAAACCTAAATTCCAGATTTTTTACAAGGAGGACGGAATGTCCAGCTGTATGTTCACTTTAACAGCTCTTGCATGTGGCACATGCTGTGAAATGTACTAGCCATCAAAAAAAAAAAAGACTCAAAGCACCTTAAAAATATGTACACACAAAGTAATTTATATGGACAAATAAGGAATGTTGTTTATTAAGGCTGTGCTTCAGAAAGAAGATGTTTAGGGTTAAGTAGCCTTCATCAAGGCACAGAATGGGAAGAAGCAAGCACAGCTGTCTGTAGAAGATAAGTTATGTAAAACCACTAGTGAGGTACATGTAGCAAATACAATTTAAAACTGCACAATTGTTCTTTGTAAGAAAACTGAACATAGTTAATAGGAAATACTGTGACTTTTCAATTGTCACAGTTTTACTTCATTATTAAAAACATAGCAAATATTTCCAAACAAAATTCACAATTTGAATAAATGAAATATTTTAAACAAAGTGCTTCACAGATCTGAATCTTGCATGATTGTACTGTCTGGTCTAGAAGCATTTTGTAGACATCATAGGAGCATTCCACACAAAACTGAAAATATAATTCAGACAAATAATAAACAGGACATTTCTAACATTTGTACACTTTCAAGTAGTTGAGTTTTTAGGGTCACTGGGTTTTCTAACAAATGTGTCTTACAGCAGTACAGGTTCGTAGATTCCTTTAGGAGCAGAGGCCCATTTCAAAGGGCACGTGGTCTTTTTGGGTTGATCTGTTTACTGGCCTGTTCCTCCTCTTGTGGAGCTGCCCGGAAAGATTTCACTTTATCTTTAATGAAAAAGAGAGAATGAGTACTGACGTGCCTGTGCACAACACAGATCCTGAAACTAAGACCTGATGCCCCATATATTGGCCGCAATGTGCAACAAAAAACATTCCTCCACAAAAATATCTGAAGACAGAAACTACAAGAGGATTGAGATAAATTTAATACACACCATACAAACAAGTTGCTTAGCAACTTAGACCCTTCTTAGATGCTACCTTTGCCTCTTCTTAGGAAGAAATTCCTCCCTGTGAAGGTGGTGAGGCACTGGTACAGGTTGCCCAGAGAAGCAGTGGCTGGCTCATCTCTGGCCGTGTTTAAGGCCAGGTTGGATGGGGCTCTGAGCAGGCTGGTCTAATGGAAGTTGATCCTGCCCATGGCAGGGAATTGGAATGAGATTATCTTTATGGTTCCTTCCAACCCAAACTATTCTGTGATTCTATGATAACAACTTTTCTATGAATGTGTAAAGCATTTGTGATTAAATTTTGAAAGTAAATAGATAAATGCATCATTCATTTGTTTCATCATAGCTAGCACAAGAATGTGAGGAACATGAGAAAAGAAGTATGTCATCCTTTGATATTGCTATTCCTCCCCCACTCCCATTCCCCAGTAATATGCCCAAGAATGGGAAGAAGGAAACCAAAATCACATAATAAAAAAGTCACTCCAAAAGTGACAGAAATAAAAGTGACCATTATGTGCCATGAGGGTAACACAAAAGTTACCGGGAGAAAGAATCTTTGATTTAACAGTTCTTCCCTCCAGCAAAGCTATACATGTATCATGCTGTCTGTAAAGATGCAAGGATCTTTTCAATATCCTTCATCTCCAGTACCTTGCTTCAAAAGCAGTATCTACTAAGTTATGGAAGAACAGGGAGTTACCTAAACTGTTTTTTCACTGCTGTTGTCTCAAATTGCCTTTCCCTGAAGAGGAAGCCATTATCCATAAGAAGCAAAGGAAGGTACATCTAAGTTTTTGCTAAAGTATATTGGTGCCAATACATGTGTACAAAGCAAGTGGGCTACATCCGATTTGCTTAATGTATTCTTCTAACTTATAACAGATACTCAGACTGAGTAAAATGTAAGATTTTACCCTATAAGGAATTTTCTAATACATATTTTTTTAAGATAACCTCAGTTGGTTCCCATGTCCGCTGGAATCCACATAGATACAGAAACTAAAATGAAAAATTCATCTCCATGAGGTACCAAGCTGACATGCTGATTTTAGAAGACAAGTGGAAGAGTCAATTTTGGGAACTAAGAATTATCTACTAAATATTAGTTGGTTTTTCAACAAAGAAAGGCTGACAAAATTTTGACAGAAAGGTTGCTAAGGAAAAAAGTAAGCTAACAGCCAAGCTACGCAGAACTCGACATTACTCTTAATCACAGACTGAAAAACAACAGCAGGTTCCCTGCTACATTACACAGTGCAATAGAACAGGAACTGAGAATTCCTACTACTTTTTCCTCATTGTATTAAAGTGGGTTTTTTTCATATAGTTCTTTTGGATTTTCTTTTTCCCTCCTTTATTCTTTTAAAACAAAGAAAACAAACCAACCAAAGTAGCAGGATTGAGTTTATACTTCCTGGAGGTAAAGCAGAGACTCTTCCTTTAAACTAGGATGAATACAGATGTGAACTTGTTCTTAGGCAGCAGAATAAATGTTTCTTTCACAGAACATTACAGGACAGCATAAGGTGAAAAAAGACCCCAAAATATAACCATACTCTTTTTTCCTCCTGTGCTGGTTTGGGCTGAAGTAGAGTTAACTTTCTTCACAGTGGCTAGTATGGGCCTATGTTTGGGTTTTGTGCTGAACACAGGGTTGATAATGCAGAGATGTTTTTGTTGTTGCTCAGCAGAGCTTACACAGAGTCAAGGCCTTTGCTGCTTTCCGTACTGCCACGCTGGCAAGGAAGTTGGAGGTGCATGGGAGATTGGGAGGAGACACAGCTGGGACAGGTGACCCAAACTGACCAAAGGGTTATTCCATACCATATGACATAATGCTCAGTATATAAGATGGGAGGAAGAAGGAGGAAGGGGGGACATCTGGAGTGATGGTGTTCGTCTTCCCAAGGAACAATTATGCGTGATGTGGCCCTGCTCTCCTGGAGATGGCTGAACACCTCCTGTCTGTGGGAAGCAGTGAATTAATTTCTTGTTTTGCTTTGCTTATGTGTGCATCTTTTGCTTTCTCTATTAAACTGTCTTTATCTCAACCTATGAGCTTTTTTAGCTTTTACCTTTCTGATTCTCTCCCTCATCCCGTTGGTGGGGGAGTGTGTGAGCAGCTGCGTGGTTCTTGGTTGCTAGCTGGGGTTAAACCATGACACCTCCTCATTATTACTGCAAGTCTCCATGGCATATGAAAATGCACACAAAACTGATTAAAAACAATCTACCTCTAAGTTCAGTGAGAATGTCAATTTTTTGCTCTAGAATTGCTTCATGTTGGGTAGCATAAGAATCCACATCATAGTCTACTTCTTCTGTCATCTCAAGAAGCGCTTTTTCATCTTCCAGCCATCTAATAGATTCCTCGGTAAAAGTTAAAAAAAACCCCTCATCTAAATACATTAGCAAAGATTCAGGACAAGTTTCAAGACAAAGAGCTGAATTACTCCTTTTCTCAAGGCCACATTTTTACTGTCTAGTCACCTCACTATAACAGTTTTCAATCCTAAAATGAATTCTTATTCCTAATTCAGCAAAATTGTATGTTCTCTACATAGTTTCTTAACTCCTGTGGTCATAACAGCAACAGATAAACCCCAGATAGCCCAGTTCTCTTCAAATTCAGAACATTAGATAACTATTAAACAAAGGAATTGAGAACTTTACATCATGGTTATGTACCCTTAGGTAGGTATCGAACTTTGAAGCCAGACTTTAATTTTAAATATGGGCTGATTGACACTGACTATAATCACAGTGTCATTACTACAGTCAAGGTGTCAAAATAATTCTGTCCATACTCAAAACCAGTTTTTTAAAAGAAGAGCTATTTTAAGTTCTCTATTGCAAGAACTAACTCCCCAGACAGAGTACTGTAAAAGATGGTTAAAGCAGCTCTTAGGCATCTTTGCACTTTGAATATTACAAAAAAAAGGGGGAAAAATAGAGAAAAAAGTCTTGCAGCAAAGAAGAATGCAACCAGGAGCTTAAAGCTTATAGAATCATGCAAAGCTGTAATCAGGGGAACTGATCCCATTGGAAATGCTTTCATTAAAAATAAAGTAAGCAGTTGACAGTTCTAGGCATGCTGAGCCTGAAATACTAAAATTAAGTCTTTTCCTCTGTGCTCAAGTAGTCCAAGTAATATTGAAATCAGAGTCCAAACCCCATGTATGTTTTGTTGGCTTTCAGGACAGATGGAGCTCTCACATTGGGATAGGATTCATGTCATCTAACGTAAACTTGTATATCCATTAAACAAAGGAAGATCAAGACCTCTAGAGTGCAATTTATTCAGTTAATTTATTTTAGAGATTTTTGTTAGGATAGGATGTTTTGCATCCCAGAATCAACAGCTTCCAGGAGAAAGCTGACAGAAGACAACTGCATGTTACAGCTTGTAGATTTTGTATTGGTGCAGCCCATCTTCGCCCATGGCATAAACTAACAAGTAATGCTGCAAACAAAGGTAGCTGAGACTCAGACACATTACCTTCTAATTACTGCTGTGAGGAGCAGTAATCTCCAGCATAAGGCCATATGGATACACAGAGGCAATAACATCTTAAACTAATGCAGTTTGTCTCTCCAGAGCTTGCAAGCATTAGGACACAACTACAGCATATTGCATAAGATTTTAACACTTCTGCATGCTTTACTTCAGGGCTAATGCTTCATAACTAAATCTCTACATCTGTTGTAAAACGTGATATTTAGCATCCTACTGTATTACATTAACACACATCAATGTTACACTAAGTTAGATACCTAAATTGAGGATGTGTGTATTCCCTATAGGTTTAAGGTTTTTCTATTTTCTTGCATCAGATGTGCCAAATGGACAGTCTGCCTAAAGACTCTAAGGTTATGAACAGAAGCAATTCACATTTCCTTCTGAAAACTAGTAATTCATACATATTTTTACAATTTATTTTGTGAATGTAAAAGGCTCCATGGTGCTGACCAGCATTACACTATATGATCAGTACTCCTTTCAAAGACCCTGACTAATAGCAAGTGAAAACCTTTATGTATCTGTAAAAAGGAAGCAAACAAGCAGTTAGAAATTTGTTTCTTCTGGATCTCAGTATCTCAGAGGAAGATGTCACAGAAGGATATTTAGAGAAGATACTTGGAGGGAGATGACCACACAGAAATGGTGCTGACAGAGATATTACTATATAGGCACATTACTATTAATTGCCAGCTTTGGCATAGGAATACTGTCATAGATTAGACAGTGAAATTGAAAATTTCAAGACACAGAAAATATAGTAAATAGTTGAAATAGTAAAAAGAAAATAGCAACTTTTCTTACAATGAATGCAGTCTATTTAGGAATGCTTGTTGAGAAGAAAAGGAAAATTTTACTAAATTTCTGGTGTGGTAGGAAAATGTTTCTCTTTCATCATGGGGACAAAGAATAATGGTTATGGGATCTAAACATCTGTTCCTATTTGTTTGCTACAATGGGCTTAGCATAACAAAACAATTTATAAATCTCTGACAGCAGCAGAATGACCAGATGATATAATACATCTACAAGAGTATGCACTTTCATTGGGAAAACCTGAATTCCTGAATTAAGATAAAACAAAGTAGAGCTCCATCTTTTACCTGGAATACAGTCCTGTGGTCTTCTACTACTTGTTCTTCCATTTCCACCATTTGTGACACAGCTTCATGGAAAGTAAACAACTGTGGCGAAACTTCCTCTTCCTAAAACCAATAGTTAATCTTGTTAGTCTGGAAAGAACTGTGGCTGCAGGAAATATATTGAATATGATCCATCCCATCACAGAAAATGAAAAGAAATATGCAGAAAGTAGAACCCCTCAAAAATAAAACTTAATACTTCTAACAAGAAAATCTCCAGAAATGAGTGGAGAGAGCAATAAATTTAAACTGTTCACAGAGTTAAATTTAATTCATATTTGTTAAAAATATCCAGCCATTAACCCTAGCGGATATTGGAAAACAGAATGTTCCCCATGAAAAAAAAACCCAATAGTGGGAGGAGGAATTCACAAGGGAAGAATGTTCATTTCTAGTAGATTTTAATAAGAAAACTTGTCTTCCACCAGGGATTTTTGTTGTGCCAATTTTCAAAAAAAAGAGAATAGCAATTACATTCAATACATTTCAGGGAATAAAAATTAAACTAATCCTTTGGGAAAAAAAGTGGAATAAATGTAAAGTGAAAAATCTAAAAAGTATGTAGTGATCAATACATTAGAAGAATGCACAACATGGATTTACAAATTGGGACAGTTAATCACAATCAAAGGGGAAAGCACTAGGTAGGCTGTAGTTAATGTTTTAGCAAGACAGTATGGTTCCTTATACCATGCCTTTAAAATCTTTTAAAAACACACTGCAAAGCTTAATTGAATTCCATATAAAAATGAAAAAGTATGACATAAAAGGATATCTGGCTGTAAGGACTGTCCAGTGCGAAGCTCTAGGAATCACTAGAATGTTCTTGTAAAATAGAGTCCTGGAAGAAGAATTACTAAAATGAGAAATGCACCAAACACCATGAAGAGGTGTTTGAAAAGCCAGAGTCTTGAGAAAAATAAGTTAGGGTAGTAAGGATTTTTCTTTTCTACCTTCCAGCAGCATTTTCACAAACCAAGCTGTACATTTAAGGAACCAGGACTAGAGCTGATAATCAGTAGTGAGGGAAAAAATGCCATTTAGAAGATGCCTCTCAGTCCCAGCTTTCCACTCATGCAGCCCATGGAGACGTCCTGGGAACATGATGTGGCTCTCTCCCAAACATTGCTCTGGGGTTTCACTCCATGAAAATCAGTAAGTTGGGAAGAAGAATGATGGGCGGCCAGATTTCTAAACACAGAGAAAGGCAAACTTGCTTGAAATAGGTGTTCTATGCAGGAAAAAATAGTGGTCAAAACCACAGGAGTGTTAAATAAAATGGATGCATTTCCCAAGCTACTTCTAACAATCTAATAAGAGATGAAGCTATACTGGAAAAATGCACACTAAAAATGTGAGAGCCGAGAGCAGACCTTGCCTAGATATTAAAAGCCCTAATCAGCAAGGAAGATAAAGAAAAGTAAAATATTCTCCTCTCATCATTCAAGAAACCTTCTTTTTTTTGTTTGTATGGGAATGAACATAATACTGAAAATGAAAATAAAGTGAAAGGTAAAGAGGCATGCTGTATCTACTTAATAGCTAACAGGCTATAAATACACATTACTCTGGATTTGTTCTGCCACTGTATTTATCATGTCTTTCCATGTAATGCTGTAAACCACTCACGTTTTGTTCACAAAGCAGTTTGAGATCTCTCTGAGGAGAGCTCCCCACACCCCACTGTGTCTCTAAGTCATCGACCTGATTGGGAGCATGGTGTATAATGGGACAGATATCTCCTGCAGCACTAGGATCAACCATCAGCTCCTTCACTCTACGTTCAGAAAATATTTAATTTGCAAATTAGTAACAACCTGTGCAAGAGTTGAAACCAAAAATAAAGCTCATTTATACACAATAAAATTAATTTAATAAGGAGGATGATGTCAGCTTCACAAATTTAATGTACTTTCAATGACAAAAAGACATTAGTCCAATTCCTAAAAAGCTTGGACTTTCAACTACTTGCAAGTGAATTACAGTCCATCTTGTAGCAAGAGGCATATTTTGATTGAAAACTTACTACTCATTAACTGTTAAGAGGGCAAAAATATCCAAACTCTCAATATTAACTCCTTAAAAACAAATAATATTTGAAAGAAAATTTCATTCAGGATCCTAAACCTGACCATCGGAGTTTTTTTTCTGTGCACACAATTGTGCTTTAAAAAAATTAGTCAGTCAGTACCCTGACTGAAAATCCACCAAGAATTCTGAAGAAAACAAGAATTTACAACCAAGTATCCCAGAGAATGAATAGATTCTTTAACTAAAATAATTTCAAAGGTGAAAATATCTTATTAAAATGTTAGGTTCTTGAAGCATGAAAGTAGTTTAAAAGATTGATAATTATTCTATCCAAAAAAGCCCATTTAAAAGAATGTTTATGAAACAGATGCATCAAAGTCTGCAAGTATAGCAAGTTTTAGAAGAAATTAATTTTTTAAGGGGAATTTCTTTTCAAGTAGCACATATATACTACAATGGAAACTGTATTTAATTAATCTTTGGAATGATTACAAGTTTTTAAAATATATATGCAATAAAATTATTTTCTTTTTTAATTAGATTTACTCAAATTACCCTAAATACAGACTTGTCAAATTTGGTTCACTAAATGTACAAAGGTGACATCACTTTTTTTTTTTAAATGTATGAAGGAAACTAACAAGGCTGGATACAGTGTGTGGTTGTTGTAAAGAAAATAGTGGGAAGATGATTTCAGATCATGCAGAGCCATCACATGACAAACAAAATAGAAACAAAGTATGCATGACTCAAGGCAAGCGGACTAATGAAAGGTTGGTCTGTAAAACTGCATTGCCAAAAAGAAAACTCAAATATAAGGATTTCATGTATAGAATGAAGTAGACCTGGTGATTGAAGGAGAAAAGTCGTCATACTCATAGGAAGGAGAGAGATCAGAGCGACTGCCACTACCCTGTGAGAAGGGAATGTCTGAAGGACTAATCCCAAATTCCTTTACTCTGAAGCAGCAAATTAAAAGAAAATGTCCTCATAAACACAGTTAAAATGACAACTGTTTAGCATTCTTCTTTAATAGTTTCACAATAAAATTACTTTTAAATTTAAAAAATAAGACTGTTGACATATTTAAGTCTTCTGCAAATAGAGTTACAGATCACTAACAAAATTGAACAAAATCAGTGCTGGTAATTTGCAGGATAATATAATAGCAATGTTTTCAGAAGAGTAATTCCAGATTTCAATTTGTGCAGTTAATAAAATTTGCTCTACATTCAGTATTTCATTTAACTGCTCCTTTTAACATATCAAACACTAAAATGTTTTACATTATATACTGCCCCATCTTACACTGTGCAGATACTGGTGTTCAGCACCTAAAAACTAATTGTACTATCAAAATTAGATATTGCTAGAAAAAATTAAAACACTACACAAAACACATGAAGCAACTTTACAGTTATAGGCATAGAAAATTAACTCTACCACACCCAAAACCAGCACAACTTCATAACAGCATGAAAATTTAACACCAAGAGAAAGAAACAGTTACAGTAAAACAATTTAGTAAACTAGAAACAGGTATTTCATATGTTTTTCGGTGTCTATTTCTGAAGTCACTTCAGCAATACATATTCAATAAAGGAGAGAAAGATCCAACAAGACTCAATTAATTTGCCATGTCCTTTGTTAAGTTAGTGTAAGCAGAGGAGTAGATGCCCCCTTCTCACCAGGAAGGAAATCAGACGGGTCTGAGCCAGGTAGATTTGCAACTAACTCCTTTGATCAAACAGAAAGATATTTGGATCCCAAGAGGAGTGTGTGGCGGCTTACTACCTGTGGAGGAATGGCTATGCGAAAAGGGACATGATTTCCTTGGAGCTGACAACCCAGCTTGTAGTGTGGTGTAAGGCCTACAGCATGCTGTGACTGAGCCTTGAACCTGCTGCTAAGGGAGAGAGCTCTGCTTGGCAGAGCTGGCTCCGACCAGCTCTGGGTCCGGTGTCAACAGGCTCCCTGGAATTCCTGGGAAAGTCCCGGAGTGTGGATAGACACCTGCTTGCACCAATCATAAGTTTGCCCTGGACACTTGGACAGGGGCAATAAACCAATCATGTATCCGCTGCGTTCACATACACTGTGTGAATATCTATATATATCTTGTAAGCACTAAGAATAAATGAGAACGATCATACTCGTATTGAGATTCATCATTACTCCAGGTCCGGATCCCA